TTCCTTAAATAGATGTCCGTTTTTATTGGTGATTTTATCATGCCAGATCGGACTTCTAGAATTGAAGTCACCTGAGATAATTACTGGAAGACGGTGGAAATGATCAAGAAGAGATTGAATAAACTCGATGTGGCTGGGATCCATTTGATTTGGATGAATGTAAAAATTGGCTACAATAATAGATTTGGATGAGGTTTGAATCATAATTGTAGTGGCGAAGGAATTGGTAAAGTTCGATAAAAGTTTGACAGAGAGATTCTGGTTGATGATTACTGTTGCAGTGTAGAAAGGTAATGAGTTGTGACACAGAATTTGAGATCTTGCATTGAATATGACTTTATCGCCGATTTTATATGGCTCTTGAATTAAGATGATGTCAGGATTAGAGGAACTGATTTTCGACTTGATTTCGTTTGTGGCTAAAGAACTTTTTGCAAGGTTGATTTGAAGGATTTTTATCTTTTTAACATCCATGTTACTGGGATGAGGATTGTTTGACGGGGATATCGTGGTTGAGACCTTTGTAACAAGTCATATTAATCAGTCTTTTAATTTGATCGTTATAAACTGGACATAAAGGTTTGTTTGGAGGATGATTGAGATCATGATTTTTGTATTTAGCATGTGATGCGCAGTTGATGCAACGATGAGTGTCTGGGCAGTTGTGATTGGTATCAGCTGTTCGACCACATTTGACACACAGTGACGGATTTTCGCATTGATTTGTAGTGTGACCAAATTTGAAACATTTTTGACATTGTTTCACGAGGATTTTATTTTTAACGATAATTTTTTCGAAGTCGGTATAAACGTAACCAAGAGACATGAGAATTTCGTAAACATGAGGATTAACACGTAGAACAACATCTTGGTACTCTCTTTGAGATTTGATAACAAACATAACCTTTAATTTCTTTTCACACCCGGCTAAAAGAGGATTCAGGTTAGCATCACAGATTAATTTTGGTAAGTTATCGGTATTGGTTTGTTTGGATACGGATTTAAGGACGACGATTGGATCTAATTTTTTTGGTTTATAGATTGTAGCATGTTCGGTTAGGTTATCAATCTGGTTGAATTCGTTAATGAGATTGTCAATATCTTCGTCTCGAGGTATTTTTAAGATAGCACCTTTATTAGTTTTGATCAGTTTATTGATTTTCAGTGTTTTCTTTTTAGAACGGATAGCTTTGATGGCTTCTGCCGACTGCAAAGCAACTGTGACAGGCGAGCAATTTTGTTTGGCAGTAATTAGTATGGTTTCTTCTTGATTATTATTTTGGTTTACAATCAGATTTTGTTGTGAAGATTGATTCTGAACGATTTGAGCGAAATTTGGGATACGAGCCATGTGAGAGCTGTTCTGTGCGTGTGATAGAGCGTTTTCAATTTTTTCGACAAGCAAATCATTACTAGATTTATGTTCGATTGCCAAGTCTATAGCAGCATTGAAATTTTCGGTGACTTGATTTAGAAATTTAGTTATTTCAACGATATTCTTGTTGCAGAGTTGTTTGTTTGTAGATTTCACTTTGTTATCGAGATATTCAGTAATTTTTGTTATTTGAGATGAAGCGTTAAGCTTCAAATCAGAAATCTTGTCCAAGACTTCTTGATCCATAATGTGGGTGAATACCCCACCCGAGGGATAACGAAATGCAAAACGATGTAATAAGATTACCACGAAGAGATGATGACGATAAAAATACGAATAATGATGAAGGAAGAAAAATAAAATGATAAAAGAGCTTCTTTTTTTTTAAAAAATAAAAGAAAA